TCCCACGACATTTCTCGTTCTCCCAAACTTCCACTCGTGTTTCTATAACTTTCTTAAGTAATACACGGCTTAAACTTCTCTATTTGTTAAATCAACCGACGAAAAATTGTGCGAATTGAATTTAATTATAGAAGTGTCAGCGTTGGGTATTGACTCTTAGTGTGCTCGTGAAATGTCGGCAACTTCTCGGCTTCTCTTACAAGAAAAGGTGCCCTCACAGAACAGAAACTTCTTCTCGGCGAAGATCAAGATCATAATGGACATTTCCAAAGAAAAAATTCATGGGGAATTAGCTTGCTTTCTATTTACCACGTGCACAAACAAGTCTCACAAGTAACTCTCAATGTAGATTGAAAAGCTTTATTGTTTCAACAAACTCTTGGATTCTATATCGTCACTAACATTCAAAATTTTGACTCAGAAATTCTGCTTGTGTTCTTTTATGATGACCGCATTGGAACCATCAATCGACTGGCAAACCATCACGAGCTAGAAAACCATGTCCCCGCAAAGATTTGCGCGGTTCATTTTATGGGGAATCACGCATGCGCACAAATCGCATTTGCCTTATTTCTCTCCATCGAAGAAACAGAGTCGAAACCATTTACTTTCCAAATTTTCGCTATGGTTCCAAAATTAACCGGCCAAAATAAAACGACAAGAGCAATGTAAAATATTACGTGCAAAGATCATAAATTATGTTAACGTATATACAGAAAAACTTAGACCAAAGCTTGTTATGTAACAAGTACAAGCATGGATTGTTCAAATAAAAGGGAGACTCTAGATTTCTGGAGTCGGCCTTTTTTCCTTAAATTATGTTATAGAATTATCAAAAGATGATATTATAGGATAGCTCAGCCAACCTGATTGCTCCATTTGTGGTACTTAGTGTACAAGTAGAATTCTACTACAACTCGATAAAACATGGAAACTATTTTCTATTTCGTTAATATCAATCAAATGCTCTTCGCACTGCTTTTAATTATTCGTTGCAGTTGATTACTTATTACAAAGCACGAACAGTTTTCATCGGACATCAAACTTGTGATCCCGATCTTTCCCAGTCGTATGGTAACACATATTCCGCTGAATATACTGCTATGAATTACAAATAACTGAAGGGATCTATAGAAGTATTTCTCTCACTTACAATGACTATTTAGGTATATTATTTTTTGTCGTAGTATTTCTCCACATGTGGACATCATGCCTGTTTTTCCAGTAGCTGTTGGAATGGAAACCATGGGAAATACTCAAATGCTCAAGGTATTCATCTTGTATTTCAGTAAGTCAAAGAAACCAACAAATGAATAGCTAATGTGGAAAATGAAAACCTCCTTACTTCGACTGCGGTTTATGCCTTAAAACGAACAATAATGAGGTTATTCTCTTTACTAAAAAAGGCGAACGTTTCATACGTCACCCAATAAACTGTTCAGTCTTCTTAGCTTATATACAGTATTTAAGGTGGCTGGCAGCATTTTCAGCACTCCTACCTTATTCCAAAATGGCCGCCATTTTAGTGTTCTTTCGTTTGCTTCCAAATTAGCCCTTGCTGCCTCTTTCAGGGGATAAAATTCTTTTGAATTTCGAGTTTAAGAACGAGGCAACAAAGGGTAATTTGAAGGTAAACAAAAGAACACTAAAATGGCAGCCATTTTGGAATAAGGTATATACTACAATTATTTTTCAACAATTAAGGTAGGTAGGTAGGTAGGTAGGTAGGTAGGTAGAGCCACGTGACTCATCAGGCCGGAGCTTATCTCCTGTTTCAGTAGCCTCAAGTGACTAGGAGTATTTCTACTCCCCCCTGGATGAGATGCTAGTCCATTGCAGGGTTACCCCCAGCAATAAAATTCGCTGCTACCCATTTATACACCTGGGTGGAGGGTGACAGTGTGAGAGTAGTGTTTTCATCAAGACCACAACGCAATGCCCCCGGTCAGGGCTCGAACCCAGACTGCTCGGTCCGGAGACAAGTGCACTAACCATGAGGCCGCCACGACTCCCACAACAACAATGGCAGCAAGTAATGCCCAAAAATTTGTTTTTAAACTGTTTGGCTAATCCCCATGTAACCTCACGTGTCCATGGTAAGCAGTGTTATATCCAAGTTTGGTGTTTCAAAATTTTAAATTTATGTTCTGGAGAGACTTTGGAATTTGTAGCGATTTTAATGACCAAATCTTTCCAATTTGTTGAATCTTCATATGCTTTCTGGATTTGTCTATATCGGTTTTTCAGTTGTTCCTGCATTTCTGAAAAAAATTATTGAAACCAAACATTTTTTTTAAATTTAACAATTTATTCTTTTCTTTACTGTGGAAATAAAGAAGTCAAAAATCTGATCTAAATCTAACATGGCGGATCCAAGATGGCGGGTGTTTTTAAACATGACGTCACTAAGGTGTATGACGTCGAAAATGACACGTGATTATTTGCAAGTTCGGATGCCTTACAAGCCTATTGAGTACACTCTTTTGGAAATACATATGGTCGGCTAAAAGAACCTCACCCCTTCAGGGTTACAGACGAAACTAAAGTCCATGTTAAATAGGGTTAAAAATATGAAACTGACGTGATTTTAATGTGTTTTGAGTAAATGGATTTAAGTAATGGATATTGACTTCATTTTATCAGTTCCTTCTTACTGCACTAAAATGTAACCCATAGCTTTGATGTGTTTGTGTCCATTATCTGGGGAACCCGTTGCCTCGTTTCCACAGGTGTTGGAGTCATCATGACGCCCTCCTGTACCAAACCCGATTCTCGAGTCAGGGGTGTCGCAAATGTTTTCATTGTTACCTAGGAAACCGATCCTTGCTTTAGACCAGTCCTGAGCGCCACCTGCAGCATTGAATCCTTCCTTGTTACAGTTGAGCTGCAATGAGGCCTGTAAACCAATCAGCGTCTTCCAAGTGTTACGACCCAGTGAGGTGGCGCGGTATTGCCCGTCAGCGACCAGTGAGTTCAGAGAGTTGGCCTGCTTGTTGATGACAATGAACCTGATCTGATTGCCGATCTTCATACCAAGACAGATCTTGGAGAAGGATGTGTTCCAGTAGGTGGGTAACTTGGTCTCTTGTGAGTCAAACCCAGTCTCCCCTCCAGGAAGGTTGTATTCATTTTTATCACTCCAGTACCCCGAGTAATAATGAAAGGTTCTCTGAGAAGAAAAGTAAAAACGTTCTGCTTATTTTGAAATAATGAAGTACCTCTCATATATAAAGAATGAAGTTTATTTAATCATCTAACTTTAGAATTCTTACGGAGTACTGTTTTGGTGACTTCGTAAACATAACATTTTGATGTAAACAATTTTCTGGTCCAAACGAATCCGCAAAACCAAAGGATTGCGTGAAACATCAAACATTATGTTGAGAATCTCGACTAACTGAGCTGAGTTACTCCTGCTAAATCCCATCAAGAATAGCGAGTTCATTTCATTCCATCTAAAAGTAGCCATTTAAGTTTTACAGATAATGTTTCTTGGCGTGTACGAGTAGAGAGTTGATTTAATGTGATACCTTGCTGCCGTCAATCTCCATGACCGGTGTCCATCCTCCATCTCCACATCCAAAATTTCCCATGTGACAGAGAATAAAAATTGGTTTTGAGTCAATGTGGAGCGTAACCAGCTGACTGACGCTGGACCTGTTGGATGTGAATAATAACAAAAGCTATTGAATTGAAGAAACTTGAGATTGAGTTGAAATAAATGTTCACTGGTTTCAACACTGCTTACTTGTTAATATAATATTTAGAGCTTAAATAGATAGTTTGCTTGTTTTGTCTGAGAACTCGTCTAAATATGACGGCGGCAATACAACCTCTAAGTTCATTTATCTGAACTTGAAGTTGATAAAGGGAGCGAGTTAGTTACGATGGTCCTTCGTCTAAAAAACCCATATTAATATCACTGATATTATGCCGTGTCTCGCAAGGACGGGAAACTACCAAATTCACGCGGTGCCAATGTGATTGGTTTAAATCGATAGTGACCGCAGTCTAGTTCTTTGTTCTTTGTTTTTGTTCACTTTTTTTGGCCTTGACCGTGCAAAAAACACAACAGTCCTTTACTCCGTACTGAGGACCTAACCAATAGAAACGTTTTGGTTACGTAATTCATTCATAGTGTATGAGTGCAAGACAAAAGGTTATGTACGGTCGTGGACCTTCCAACATAAATCTTGGCATCTCTATTTGCTCCTTTGATGTTTGCTGGGCTTCATAACCAGTCCACTCTATTAACTATGGTCCGTCGTCTAAAAAACGTATTATTATCATATAGCCGTGTCTCGCAAGGACTGGAAACTATCAAATTCACGCGGTACAAATATGATTGGTTTAAATCGACAGTGACCGCAGTCTAGATTTTCCCTTCTAGACCGGTATCTAGATCATTCTACCTTTTGTTTTCGTTCTGAGAAAGTTGCAAACAATAAATACAAAATCATTTGCTTGATAGGTGGCCACATTTTGTGAAATCTGGTTTGTTTTTAGGGCTGTTTTCAAAGTTTAACTCAACGCTCTAATTAGGAACAATTAACAGTTAGGTATAAAACGTAGTGCTTAACAACCACATTCAATTTCCATCGTTGTTACTTGACTAGAAAATAACTTAATCGTGATTGGCTGAGAGCGGGCCAATCTATCGCAAACTTTTATTTTGCCCCGCAGGAGTGCAAATAAACGCGCGCGAGTTAGAACTTTTCTTAGTCATATAATAAATAAGTAATCGT